GGCCTGGAAAGGTGGTCCGATCCGCTTCTCTGTCGAGTGCTCCCTCTCCCCGGAGGGAGCGGGGCGGAAGAAGCAGAGAGAGAGAGGGAGAGACGAACAAAAGAGAGAGAGAGAGAGAGTGAGGGAGACAGAAAGAAAGAGATAGAGAGAGAGAGAGGAAGAGATAGTAATAGAGACCCAGGGCTCCGCGACGATATTGTATCACCTGCATACAAGCATTCTCGACAAACCTATGTGATATACCTGTATCTGGAACGTCTGTACACGTGTAAACATCTATATATATACACATATGAAAAAAACAGCGGTGTGTGTGTGCACATTTAGGTATACGCAAATATGCGTGTATGTATGTGTGTATATGTATACATATATTTATATGTATATTATATATAGATATAGATATAGCTACACGTTGTGTGTTGGCATCCCCTGGCCCCCACACGCCTCGACCCCTTCCCCCGAGGGCGCCCTTCGTCCCGCACAGCTTTACTCGTTCTGCATGGCCTCTCGGGCCCCGCGGCGAGGCCGCCCTCCTCCTCCTCCTCCTCCTCCTCCTCCTCCTCCTCCTCCTCCTCCTCCTCCTCCTCCTCCTCCGTCGCGCGCCCCCCCCCCCAGAGAGGCGGGCCCCCCCGGAGGCACCGGAGATGGCCTCGGGCCCCGCGGACGACAGCGAATCTGACGAAGAGCACGCCGGCATCGGAGCGGACGCGCTGATGGGCCTGCTTTCCACCACCACCACCATGAGTCGGAGGGGGAGCGGCTCCTCCTCCTCCTCCTCCCCCTTCTCCTCCTCCTCCTCCTCCTCCTCCGCCCCCCCTCCAACTTATGGTGGTGGTGGTGGAGAGCAGGCCCATCAGCGCAGCCGCCCCGAGGCCCGGGCAGGGAGAAGAGTCCCCCGACGCTCCCGACCGGAGAGCTGCTCGCCACCGCTCGCACGCCCACTCACCCGTGCGCTCTTCGGCTTCTCTCGTGCGCCTCGATGCCTCGCGAGGGTGCTCCAGGAGGCGCCTCGATGGTGGAAGGGGCCTCCGGACACACAACTAGATAGACACACGTAGCAGGATTCCCAATATTCCTTCATATCTTCAGGGTTTTTGCCTTCCCCCCGACTTCCCATATTTTCCCATATTCTCTGGGGAGTCGACGGTTCATTGTGTCTGTGTGCTTTTTCCCTACCTAGGCTCTGCCTAGAGGGTTCTTACTCTCTTAGCTTAAAGGGGCCGGGCAGTGCAAAGCGCCCCGGGCGGTTCCCCCAGTCCCCGCCCAGCGGTTCCCCCCAGTCCCCTGGGAGCTTTAGCTTTAGCTTTAGCTTTAGCTTAGCTTTAGCTTAGCTTTAGCTTAGCTGTAGCTTAGCTTTAGCTTAGCTGTAGCTTAGCTTTAGCTTAGCGTTTCGCTTAGCTTTTCGCTTAGTTTAGCTTTAGCTTAGCTTAGCTTTAGCTTAGCTTTAGCTTTAGCTTTAGCTTAGCTTAGTAGCTTAGCTTTAGCTTAGCTTAGCTTAGCTTTTAGCTTTAGCTGTAGCTTTAGCTTTAGCTTAGCTGTTGCTCAGCTTTAGCTTAGCTTTAGCTCAGCTTTAGCTTAGCTTTAGCTTAGCTTTAGCTTAGCTTTAGCTTAATTTTAGCTTAGCTGTGGCTTAGCTTTAGCTTAGCTTTAGCTTAGCTTTAGCTTAGCTTTAGCTTAGCGTTACTGTTACTACTAATGCTGCTTTCCTAGGGGTTCCAACTCCTAGGTAGGGTCGCACTGGGATAATCTTTCCTTCCTGAATGGTCCTCGCCGAGATAGAGAAGGCCCACGCCCCAGCGATGCCAGGCAGCTGTGGGGGGGGAGAGGGGCGCTGGCCGCGAGGCCTGGCGACCAGGGCCTCGGCCGGACGGCGCGCCTGGGCCCCCCGTCCCTGGACTTCGGTCGGGCGCGTCCTCCTTACAGTCAACCCGGATAGTCAGGATGCGCGATGCGGATGCGTTTCGAGCGTGTCGCCCATTTCGAAGCGTTTCGAGCCTTGGACGCCAATTTCGAAGGATACGCGCCTTGGACGCCCGTTTCGAGCCTTGGACGCCCGTTTCGAGCATTTCGAGCGTTTCGAGCCTTATACGCGATACGCGATGGGCCTTGGACGCCCATTCCGAAGCGTTTCGAGCGGGGCGAGGCCAACGAGACTGCCCAAGGATGGACCCGGGAGGCAGGGATGCCAGGGTACCCTTGGGCAGGCTGCCCATTATGCTCGTTGACTGCACAGGCGGATTTCGGAGGAGGGACAAAAAATGAGTCGAGACAGAGTCAAAAATAATCAAAAACAGTCAAAAAATCGTCCCCAGGCTATTTTTGACTATTTCTGAATCTTCCTCCTGAGGAGGGACAGGCCCGGCGCAACCCTGGAAGAGCCGCAGAGACGCTTCTTTCTGCTGGCCTCGGGAGATCCCCGGAGGCGGCCTCCACAACCAGAGCACGTGCGAAAAACGTCAGAAGACATACGGCAGGTTCGTGCTATGCCGACTTCGGCGCTGGCGCCCGACACCGCGGGGATCGTTCGACCTGGAACGATCGGCCGTTGCAGAAACGTCAGATCTCTCAACATCGACCGATTCTGGGTCGCCGGCGGCGTTCGACGTTGAACGTCGGCGGCGGGGTCGCCGCCGGTCGACACGACGCGAACCTACCGTACCACCTCCATCACCTCTGGCTCCTGCTCCGAAGGCGGCGACGACGACAACGACAGCGACAACGACGAAGACCATCCTACGACCATGTGATCTTTAGAAACCTGCTTCGGACCTTCGTTTGTTTCTGTTTCTCCCTGGTACCCGCCCCCTAACTCTATAAACCATCCCCCATTCAAGGGGGTTTTCTTTTCGTACCAACTATTGGGAGAAGCATTCAGCAGTGCACCCCGTGTGCGCACCGCGAAGACACGACTCACCAACTTGAGTGCAACGCGAGGAAGTCTCGGCAAAAGACGTCGTTCCTGTACTACGGGACCTCCAAGGCGTCTCGGAGAAAACCGTGAGAAAGTCGAGCGGCATCCATTTTCGTCTGACCTGTGTTTTCACAGAAATGAGCGGCTTGCGAGACCGTCTCGGACGAGAGCGCTATTCCTGAGTGCGATAACGCTTATGAGCAGCAGGGCACATGGAGTAAATTGTGAGGACGTATCGGGCTGTCGGAGAGCTGGCCGGGTGTTTCGTCCCAGACTTCCTCACCACCTATGCTCCTTGATTTGAACATTGGAAGAGCTTCGCGGATGGAGGGCGGGCCATTTTCAAAATGTGGCTCTCGCCTTAGCGCCGCGCACGCTCGTCTTAAAAACTGCAAAAGTTTCACGCCTGGCAAGCGGGCCGTTTTCAAAATGTGGCTCTCGCCTCAGCGCCGCGCACATTCGTCTGAAACTAAATAATGCCTTCCACGGATGGAGGGCGGGCGGTTTTCAAAATGTGTCTCTCGCCCTGATGCCCAGCATATTTGTTTTAAACAAGCGCAAGCACTGCACGAATGGAGGGCGGCTCCTTCTCAAAATGCGGCTCTCGCCCTGGCGCCGAGCACATTCGTCATAAACAAACGCAAGAGCTTCACGGATGGAGGGTGGTTCCGTGTCAAAATGAGGCTTTCGCCTTGGCGCCGCACGCAATCGTCTCAAACATATGCAAGAGCTTCACGGAGGGAGGGCGGCTCCTTTCCAAAATGTGGCTCTCGCCTTAGCGCCGCGCGCATTCGTTTCAGCGCTTACGACAGCTTCAAAGACTCTCATGGTTAACGTCCCCAAAATAATGTGTTGGCGCGATGTCGGACTGTCAGGGCGCAACAGTTACATTGGTTCGTGCTGTTGAAATTCCAAGGGATGGAGTTTTATAACGGTTAAGGACTGTCAAGACGCAGCAATAAAGGTCATTCGGGCGTTGAAGCCCCAAGAAGTGGCACAACTCAGGATTTCCAAGCGGTTGTTTTCCAACGAGGCACTTCCCTCCGTGAAAATGAACCCTTGTATGGGGCCTATGACGAGGGAGCGTGGAGGGAAGGTATTTTGCAGCACCGTGGATGAATCTTGGGTTTACAAGGGTCCTCCTCCTCCTCCTCATCCTCCTCCTCTTTCTCCTCCTCCTCCTCCTCCTCCTCCTCCTCTTCCGACGACGACGATTTCTCCTCCATTCTCCCCCCTTTGGGTACAGGGTACGACGGCTTCCCCAGCTTGTTTTCCACAGCATGCTCGTACACATCCCTGATCGGGGCCACTCGCCTGGGCGTCTTTTCCAGGATGGGCTGGTGGGGTTACGCGAAGCGTCTGGACTCATAAAGAAGTATCGAGCGGGGCACGTTGTCGACGCAGCCTCCAAGAACACACATTGGCCCCCAAACCCGCGCTCGAGCGGGAGCTCCGTTCTCAGAGGAAACAGGGCCAGCGTCCAGGCGGTAGCGCCCAGAGCCGATTCCAGAGCAACGACAAATTCGACGACGACGACGACGACGACGACAACCACGAAGACGACGGCGAGAGAGAGAGAGAGAGATAAGGGGGGCTCGCATGTGGCCCCCCAAGAGAGAGAGAGAGATAGAAGCAAAGACCGGGGGCACACGAAGCACCGAGACCCCAACTCGCCGGACCTCTCCCTGGGCGCGTTCCGACCAGAGCCTCGAGGACGGCCCCGCCACGTGGCGACGCGGGCCGATCCAGAGCGAGCAGCCCAAGGATCGGGCAGCGGTCGCGGCAGCGCAGCCTCCTCGGAGAGACAGGAGGGCGGAGAGGGGGGGTCTGCGAGGGCAGACCCCGCTGGGGGGCCACACGTGAACCCTGCCCCTGCCCCCCACGGCTGCTGAGGGGGAGGGGTGGGGCTCCAGAGCGAAGCGAACCCCACCGTCCCCCTCAGACATCGTGGGGGGTAGGGGCAGGGTTCACGAAGGATTGCAAAAAAAACCTTCGTTCGTTCGTGGATTGCAATCCTTCGTTCGTGGGTTTTTTTTTGCAATCCTTCGTTCGTGGTTTTTTTTTTGCAATCCTTCGGTTTTTTTTGCTACCCGCGGCGGCATGCTTGCACGGGCAGCGGGCAGACTCCGCCCGAGCGGAGCCCCTTTCGGGTTTCCGCGCGCACCCCCCTCGGCGCCGCGCGGCGGCGCGTCTCTGCGGGAAGGGTCGGGGATGGAGGATCGGGGATCGAGGAGGATCTCGGATCGAATAACCTCAAAACGTCTTCGATACCCCCCCCCCAAGAGCGGGAATATATATATATATATATGTATGTATACACACATACACACATGCATACACACATTAAAAACATACGTGCGTACACACATACATACATATAAGCATGCATGCATATGTGTATATATATACATATATACCTACATATATACACATACACACATACACACATACATACATACATACATACATACATACATACAGACAGACAGACAGACATACATACATGAATCCATACATACATACATACATGCATACATACAAATATACATACATACATACATACATACATACATACATACATACACGCATACACACATACATACATACATACATACATACATACATACATACATACATACATACATGCATGCATACATACATACATACATACATACATACGTACATATATACATACATACATGCATACATACATACATACATACAGACATACAGACATACAGACATACAGACATACAGACATACAGACATACAGACATACATACAGACATACAGGCATACAGACATACAGACATATGCTCGCCCCTCCCCCTCCAGCATCATACCTTTCGCCTTCGATCCAATCTCCAATCTCCTACCTCCAATCTCGTCCTCCTCCTCCCCATCGCCTCTTTTCTCCTCCAACTCCCCTGCACCTCCGCCTCCTCCACCTCCTCCTCCGCGTCCACCTTCAACATTTCTTCTCGGGTTGCTCTCCGCCTCCTTGCCCTCCGCCTCAGCCTCCCACGCCGCCTTTTCGCGCGCTCTCAACCCATGTAGTCCTCTCCTTCTCCGTATAATCCTCCGTGCAATTGATGTGATGCGTTCCGCGGAGTGGGCTCACATATAGTGCGTTCCACCACATTTCCCTCTGCATGTTCGCATGCGTCCCCCGCTTTCCCTGCTCCTCATCCTACTCAAAGTCACCCTACTACTTCCCCCTCCTCTTTCGATACATCCTACTGGGCGCCCTGCCACCTCGGCCACCGTTTCGAGGATATGCTTTGCTCTGTCTCTTCTTCCCTCCCAGCGTCCTCACCCCACATGCTCCACTGCGATCGTTGTAATGCAATCTACGTGGCGTAGCTTACGGAGTGCAACGCTTGTGTGCAACGGGGAGATGGCAGGGCCATGTGGAGGATGACGTAGGAATCGCGGAGGAGAGGGAGGAGACGGAGGAGGAGGAGGAGGAGGAGGCCAGGGGGCGGTGGAGGAGCAGGACGCGGAGGCGGAGGAGGAGGAGGAGGAAGTGGAGGCCGCCGCAGGGATGAAGAACGAACACACTGGAAACACGAGAAACCAAAGAACGCAACTGTGTTCCCACAGGGAAATACGGAACACAACTTCAAACCAAAGGCGCGGAGGAGGGAAACCATACATTTGCCCTCCACGCCTCCCGAAGGAGAAGGAGGAAGAGGAGGAGGAGGAGGAAGATAATGCCGAGAAGGACGGGAGGCGGTGGAGGAGGACGCGACGGCGGAGGAAGGGGGTGAGAAGGAGGACGAGGAGGAGGATGCGGAACATGACGGGCAGTGGATGAGGAGGACGCGGAGGCTGAAGAGGCGGACAGGGAAGTGGAGGAGGAAGAATAGGAGGAGAAAGAGGAGGAGGAAGAGAAGAACCGACTGGACCGTCCGTGCGTTACCATTATATGTAGGAGTCGCAAGGGGGGGGGGCGCGGGGGGGGGGGGGGGCGGGAACGAAGACGGACAAAAATGATAAATAAATGAATAAAGTAAAACATGTGCTTTCAAATGCAAGAGAAGGGCCAGCATCCGCATCCGATGGCGCGGGGGGGGGGAACACATAAAGAACCTCCGATCCTTTTTCCCACTGGGGGGAGCAGGAGGAGGACGATGAAGCGGATGTGGAGGAGGAGGCGGAGGCGGAGGAGGAGGACGAGGAGGAGGAGGAGGAGGAGGAGGAGGAGGAGGAAGAAGGGGAGGCCGCCACAGGAACGAAGAACGAACAGGAGGACAGAAAAGGGAACACATGGAACACATGTGTTTTCACATTGAAACCATGGGAAAACAGCTTCAACCTCCAAGCGCGAATCTGGAAAAACGATGGAACCATCTCCTCTCCTTTTTTCCCACTGGGAAGGGGGAGGGCAGGAGGAGGAGGCGGCGGACGTGTAGGCGGCGGGGGCGGAGGCGAAAACGGAGGAGGAGGACTGACGCGAGGGCGGAGGAGGCAGAGGGGAAGAAGGAGGAGGATCAACGGAAAAGGAACGACTGTGGAGGGGGGTGATGATGATGATGATGCTGATGATGATGATGATGATGATGATGCTGATGACGATGATGATG